TAGAAACTGTGATAAAGAAATACCTTGGTGTCTGCATGAAGGTTTCATTATCATTCCAGCCCCTGGAGGCTCCACCACCCGGCACATCCCTTTGCCAGTGCCAGGGTGTCCAGCAAAACCAGCAATGCAGGTGCTGCCGGTGAACTTTCTGCTGCCTAACGCAGTAGATAAAGCCTGATAGCTGGGAAGGGGCAGAGGTTTTGCTGTTATGCTGCCTGTACGGCGTGTATGGCAGTTCTTCTGCTTGGGTTCCTTGCTGGGTTCCAGGATTTTAGCCAAACCTGCCTCCCCATAAGGCACCCCCTGGGGGTGATGGGGAGGGTCCTGCTGTGGGAGTGGGGCTGCTGGGCTGGGTGAGAATCAGCAGAGGCTACCCTGTCCCTGCTGGCATTGGCCCATGTTAGCTCACGGTGTGATGAGCCGGGGCCTTTCCTGGAACCTTGGTGCTGCAGCAGCCCTGGGCACAGCTCAGCAAGGTGCCGGGGTGCTGCTGCTGTGGGCACTGTCCTCCCTGATACTGATTTTTAGATGTTTTATGTTCTGGGTTAATATTACATTGAAAAGGATAATATCCATGAAAAGATTATCTGTCTACTTAAATCCTTTAGTTTAATTGAATAGAGCTATCATTATCCAGAGCTTGTTTGTGTATTGCTGCCTGCAAAATAGAGTCAATTTTCCAGACTGAGATGATGAATGTGAACACCACAGACATTTTGTAATTTAATTTTAATAACCATGACTTATTATTATTTTAATAGCCATAACTACTAATTTTTAAAACAAAAGTAATGTTGCAGTGCTTTGCACAAAACCTGGAAAGGAAAACATGCTATAGTGGAAGTTGTGCTACAGCTTATTATTTAATTTATTTTGTTGACACACGTGATCCTTGCTTTAGGAGGAGCTGCTGTGGGTTTGGGATTTTAAGGTCCGAACTTGACCACTGTCTGAGGACCTTTTGCTCCTGCTGATTGCTTGGAAACTGGATGAATTACTCCACAAGCCTAGAGACAAAGTCACTCTGGGGCATGTTAGAGCGCGGTGTTCCAGGGCTGTTGCACAAGCCCTGCTGCCTTTGCTGCAGTCTGTGTCCCAAAGCCCAGGTTTTGGCCCCGGGGCCCCCCAGCTGCAGGATGGCCAGACACACTCCTGCACCTCATCCTTGTGGCTGCCACCCCGTGTGGGGCTGTCCCCTCCCTGTCCCTGTCCCGCCGGCTGGCTGGGCTCTCCCAGCTCGCTCCGGCCCAGCTCTAATGAATTGCTTTGTTCAACCTGATGCGTATTTATTGGCAAAACTCAAAACTCAAGGCCTGTTTTGCCAGGATCAGGTGCTCGGTGTGACCCTCCTGCCCTGGCTGCGGTTTGGCCATCGGCCGGGCATTGCCATTTCGCTCACACCCTGCTGGGTGCGTGTGGGGGCTCGGCAGCCAAATTAAACCCTGCTCCCAGCGACCCAGCGGTGTGTGCGAAGGGACCGTCGCTCACCCTGTACCGGCATCTAGCAGGTGGTGGGGAGCCAGTCAAGACCTTTCTCTAGAAAAATGCAACCTGCCTATGTTGGCCTGGATGTTGAGCCTGAAATGAAAGCTAAAGAAAAGAATAATAGATTTTTTCATGCCTTCCTGCATTCTTTGTGTGGGCACTTTACATATAAATAGGCTTGTTTCACCGTGGGCTCCCCCAGGGCCAAGGTGAACCCTGCAGGAAGGGCTGGCATTCCTCACCCCCACAACAACCTGAAACCTTCAGCCTTGGGGTGTGGTTTAGGGTCAAATAATTGCTGTTTATTGCTCTTACTTAGCCCTTGCTTATTCCTGAGCTTATTTAGCTGTTGCTGAGGGCTCAGATGAAGACACACCGGTGGGCTCAGCTCCCGTGCCACTGCTGCCTAGGACTTGCACTGTTGGGCTTTTCTTTTTGAAATGATCTTTACATCTCTGGACATCCCAGTGAAGCCCTATGTGACTGCAGCTCAGCACCCAGCAAGCGCTGGGTGCTCAAAGGGGAGCATCACCCATGGTGGTTCCCAGAGGAAGCCCAGTGGGAGCTGATTTCTGATGGGGACCACCAGGCTGGTTGGGCCAGGGGTTCACCCAGAGGAGCTGCCCCTCTGCGGTGAGATCTGGGTTCACGCCAGCTGCTTAATAGCAGGATTACTTCCTATGGCTCATAGTTTGTGGTGACTTAGAAAAACCAACCTGCGGATGAGATAAGATCAATAAATTAAGAGAGTCGGGATTAGCTGCAATGTTGGGTGAAGTTCTGTTTTTTTTTTTCTTTACAAAGCACTGCTGAAACTGTGGGAACTGCAGGGAAATACATCTGTATAGGCAACACGTGAGGAATTTATTTACCCGCGCTGCTGTCCACTCCAGGGCATAGCATCGCCCAGCCCCAAGAGGTGTCCTTGCCCCTTCTTCCTCCACTCCCACTTCAGACCTGGCCAAAATCGGCTTCACTCATCAAGAAAAACAAAATAGTTTCTTTGCAGGGTAGCAAACCAGAAATACGCATTTCCCAGCAGTGTCCTTGCTTCAGCATCCCAAATAGGGAGAGACAGGCTTGGCCAAAGAGACATCAGCAGGTTGGGACTTGCTTTCCTCCAGTGAAAAGATCAGGAGGCTCTTTAGTTTTTTTCTTTACAGTTTTATTTACAAAAGGTATTAAAACTCTTTGTACAACACCTCATGAAAATGAGGCTCAGTAATTGATGCCCACACATGCAGTTTATGCTTTTACAGCCATTAGTTTGCTTGGCAATTTTTCTGCTCACTGAAGTGTAGTTTCAACGACCAAAAATAGGAACTTAAATTACAAAAAAAAAAAAGGAGAAAAAAAAAAGAAAAAGGAGAGAACTCCCATATTCCCCAAAGCATAACAAATGAAAAAAATATACTGAAACAAATCATTGTGAGACTACTGCCGAACTTCCGATAGCTTGAAGTTGGTAGCCAGAATTGGTAAGCACTCAACACGTTTTGTTTTAGCTTTACATGCAAGTTTAAAAAATATCAAACGATTTACCAAACTCCCTTCACTGGTGTGAAGCCTCCATTCTTAAAAATTGATCTGATAAACATACATCTTTTATACAGCTTTTAAGAAAAAATGTTTGTTTTAAATACAACTCAAAACCGTACAGCTTGAGCTCGCCCTTGCTGAGGACGTGATCATGTTCAGAAGTTGAAAATAAAATCACAGATTCATGAAACAAAAATGAAACAAACCAATCGTTTTTGTCAATATCTTGTTAAAAACTTGAACAATAAATTATTCTCCTATGAGCTTTTAAAATTATTTTACATTACACTTTGTTGGAAATACTTATTTTTAACAAGACTTTTCCCATATATTCTTCTTTTTTTTTTTAAGTCCTATTAAAAGTTCAAATCTATCATCAGCAAACTAAATGCCTAAGGGTCAGACTGGTTTAAATGAGCTTCTTTGTCATTGTATGTTACTGATGAAATAAAACTCTATAGTAAACTACAGAAAATACATATTGTCGATTAGAGGTAATTAGTATGCAGATATTCCATTGAACATTTCCCATGTGATTGACAATATGTGTAAAGGTTATTTATTTTTTAATTTTTTTTTTAAGATGAAGTTAAGTATTTTCTAGGCAGAGGCTCAAGGCTGAAACGCTGCTGCTGTCTAAGATGTTGGATGTGAGTAGTAGTGAGCCCCTGCCTGTAGCAGGGCTGGCTGGAGCGTGGGGTCCTCGTTACAGAGAGGGCGAGGACAGGAGCATCCTCGCACCAGTAGCCATGAAACAAGAGTTGGCAGGAGCTGATATCATGTAACGGTACTAGCAGGAGTCATGTTAGGTCACTTAATATCACTCTGGAACTGCAGCTCTAACTGGAGTTACTACCCTCTTCGCTTACTTCTGGTTTCAAAGGACTGCTACGGAGAAGCATTAGCTGAGCATGGTGCGAGTTGGGGGACAACCGGGGTGAAGCGGGAAAAACCTAACCTGCACTCCTCTTGTTTCATTGCTTGATATCAAACAGTGAATTAAAATGCAAATGTACAGCAAGAAAAGATATATATGGTCTGAACCTAAATAGCAAGTAGCTTTTCTTACTTTTTTGTTTAAAAAGCCACCCAATGCCATTTTAATAAAGCACCTGTAGGTATGCCTGATGATAGAAAAAAAAAAAAAAAAGGAATGCACAAGTTGCTGCCCACACTTTAGCTACCTTGTCAAGAAATTAATTTACTGATCTGGAAGCAAGACATGCAGTTCCACAAATTACTTTCTTTTGGATTTACAGATTCACAGTCATTGACCTTAACTGGCTTTAATGCACAGGTTCTTTTCTTCAGGTGTTACATCTTTTACCGCTATACAGAATTGCTCAAATTAGCTGGAGAGTTTAAAGTGGCTTAGAGAAAAAAAAAAAATCACACCACTGGTAAGTAAATACTGAAACATCTTGACATCAGCTCATACAAGCAGTGACAGGCCAGTCCATGTTCACACGCAGCAGATTTCTGAGGCTTTGTGTCATGAGGAGTTTCATAATTTGATACGATTGGGGTGGCTGATGAAACCAGCTGCGGTTTGCTTTCAGGACACAAGTTCATTTACTGTGCAGTGGTATCAAAGATGGCTTTTGTTGCACTGATTTATTTTTACAAGATTTTTTTTTCACATACTAATATCTTATTACCAGTCCTTTCCTTTTCTTTTTCTTTTTTCCTCTTCTCTTTTATATTTTTTACTTTTTTCTTTTTTTCTCTTATTTGCTTTTTCTTTTCTTTCCATTTATCTCCTTTTCTTTTTTTCTTCCTCCTTTTTCTCTTTTCTTTTCTTTTCTTTTCTTTTCTTTTCTTTTCTTTTCTTTTCTTTTCTTTTCTTTTCTTTTCTTTTCTTTTCTTTTCTTTTCTTTTCTTTTTTCTTTCTTTTTTCTTTTCTTTCATTTTTTCCTTCTATTTTCTTTTTTCTCTTTTCCCCCTTTTTTTTTCTCTTATTTTGCTTTTTCTTTTACTTTTTCTTCTTTCAAGCAAAGCAAGAATATTTCGGTGATGGTTTGCATTGTTGTGAGTCTCAGAGTCTTCCATAAGGCACTGAAGGAAAAAATATCAGTTTTTCCTATTAAAAGTACATTGCACCATCATCAATGCGTGTCATGCCTGACACCTCGGAGAGAGTATGACTGGCTCAGGTGGTCCGAATCTGTGAAGTAGCCACATTCTCTGCTGCTTCTCCTCTTGCATGCTGTCAGGGTGAGGATCTATAATAAAACCAGAAAGATTTCATCACTGCCCATCAGCGAGAGGCAGGGAAGCTCAGCCTGGGGTGAGGCACAATCTGTGGGCAACAGGCAAACCAGGCTTTTCCAGAGTTGTGTTTCAGCAATTCAGCTCAACTTTTCATGCTTTAGAAATCACAATTTCTAGTGCAGAGGTTTTTTTGTTCTATTGTAGATCTTTTTGAGAATTCCTAAAAGCACTTACCTGACCTGACCATAGCTTAAAAAAAAAAGGGGAAGAAGTTACTAGCAATAGAGACGCAAATTCTGATTACAATAGTTTTTAAAGTGATTAAAATACTTTTATATCTACTGAACAAGCACAATGCTGGAGAGAGGACTTACTCCTTTCAACATGAAATCAGCTCTTGCTGTTTGTAATATAGGATGGTACCAAATCACTTCTACTCTGAGACTGCCACCAGAGGACATTGCAAAAGCCCTTTTGCAGCAGTTTGCCGATGCACACAGCAAAACAGCACACGTGGCTTAAAAAAACCCCCAAACCCAAACCAACCAACCAAACCAGAAAGAAAGAAAACCCAGAGGGTTTGAATTCCCGGCCCGTAGCCGTACCCCTAGATTTTCACACTTTCTGTGCCATACACATTGTAGCCTTCTCTGTAGGTGGCGTAATTCTGGGTGTTGGTGGCGGGAGCGGGTTTGAAGTTCTGCGTGTTCTTGGTGAGTTTCATTCGCTTGGACTCGGCCCGAGACTTGTAGCAGAACTCGATCAGCGCCACCATCATGGCCAGCCCCAGGCCTCCGACAAGGATATAGAAAACCCCGGCAACATTGCTCAGGCTCAGAGCGCTCGTCTTGTCCTAAGAGAAACCAGCCACGCCGTTAGTTCTTCTGTGAGGAGCAGACGGACAGACAGACAGCAGGCTAATTGCACACTAGTCCTAGCTGGAGTAACTACGCTCAGGGTGCCGAGTGTCCCGCTGGCGGGTCAGTGCTGTCCCCCCCCGGCCCCAGCAGCCCAGGGCTGCGCAGCAGTGACTGCTCTCTCTCCCACCCTTCGGCGGCTGAGATCCTGCCCGACTCCAAGGCGATGAGATTTTCTTTTTTACTTCCCTTTTTTTTTTCTTTTTAGCCACTGACTTCCCCAGGCCTTCGGCATCCCAGAGCAAACCCGCCTACAGCCGAACGCTACTGCTGGCAAAGGCACCTTGGGAAGGCTCTGGCAGGGAAAGTGGTGGCTGTGTAAAACAGCAGGTTTTACAGAAGGCCATTATAAAACTAGGAAAAAAAACCCCAAACCACTACACGCTTGGTTTTGGTGAATGCAGGTAAAATTATGGAGATGCTGCTAAACTTATCTACCTTTTTGTTTCAACAGTCAGGAAGAAAATACAACACCCTAGGAAGATGGTCAGTTACTTTAAGGTCCAGCAGCAGAGCCCTGAGCTCAACTACTATCTTTGGTGACCACGGGAATTACTGAATAAAACTAATCATTGTAACACAAAAAAAAACGCTGGCCAGGGCTTCTCTTCCTTCAGTACATGTCAGATGGGGCAGAAGGCTTGCGTTTTGAAAACCAGGATTCTGTAATCAGGTTTAACAGAGCTGTAACCCTTTTGCTGCTGCACCGGCCAGCTGGCTGCATGGCGAAATCGCTGCCCCTGGCTGGGCTGCCACGTCACGCCATGTCACATCGAGTCACGTCATGTCATCTCTTGTCATGTCATGCCAGCCCAGCTGGACAGGCAGATGCCAAAGCAACTTGCAATAAGGGGCCGTACCCAGGGAAGATATTCACTGATGGAGCTTGGTTTACGAATATCTCCAGGGAGAGCAAAGCTTGCATACAGCCAGAATAAAACACGATCTTGTATCTGCGCATTTCACAGGCAGTTCTACAACTGCAAACAGCCTGTCATTTAAACTAAAGATATTATTCATTTACACCTCTTTTCAACTAAGTTCCCTTCTGCAGCTGCTGGGCATTCCGATGTCCCAGGATCCCAAATTTCTCTAATACAACAGCTACAGGGTTGTGCCCTAAGCAACTTCAGTCCAGCTGAGATCAGTAAATTTTTATTATTGGCTTCAATGGAACTTGAAGCTGTCCTCCAACACTGAGAGGCTGCTTCCAAATTATAGTTTTCTGTTTCAGTGATTATAGAGAGCCCTTCCAAAGGCACCACTAGAGTTAGGCACTCAGCCGCGACTGATTTCAGCTGGAGCAGGATTTCTCCTCTTGGTGCCTTTGAAAACGTCCTTTACTCCAATGAGCCCAGCACTTCTACAGTGGTTTTCTCCTCAATGGTTCTATAAGCATGAAAAAAAAATATATCCCCTGTGTTTTCTTTGAAGTGAATGGTGCAAATAAAGATTTGCTGCAATTGGAGTGTGCGGCTACCGGACTGATCCACCCATCACCTCAGGGGTGGGATCCCCACTGGAGTCTGCAGAAGATGAGGAGCTGACTGGAGGCTGAGTGGTGTGGGAAAGGGGAGTACAGCAGCAAAATGTTTCGGAGCAGAAGAAAAAAATAGTATACAATAGTTGTGTAATGAGTTACCAATAGTATTTCTAATTTTGGTGGTGATGTTTTTTCTTTTTTTTTAAATCAAACCAATTTCAAATTGATTTGGGAAACAGGTCTATCCTGAAATTGTCCATTGTTAGCAAGCATGTCACTGTTTCCCAAACTGACATGTAGAGAATCTAAGTAACAATTTTGAAACAAAAATGTGTTTTTTCAATAGGACTAAAATATGAAAAAATGCTGGCCTGGATAAAATACATTGACTGTGCTGAAACTTGCACATCTAAATGATGATACCAGCTTTGGAGGCTTTGGGGAACTTATCTTTCCATGTTTTTCTAGCAAAATACTCAAATAGTAAAACATACTCACAACTACAACCTGCTACTGCACAAAAGAAAAATGCTGTCATGCTCAGAGACTTAACTATTTTTTTCTATTCTTTTCTTTCAACCTTCAAAATGTAAATATCAACTTTTGAAAGCCATTCTTTGTATAAACAAACAGTGGGTCAAAATGTGATTGCTAATCAGTACAAAAAGACCTTCAGCGACTGACCTTACTTCCGGAGTCCTTGGCTCCACATTCACCCTTATCGTACCACCATTTGTTTTTCAGCTTGTCTAAGATGCCTTGTTCACTGAGTTTCAATACTGCAAGGTTTACAGGAGTTCTTCACGTGGGAAATAACATAAATAACATTATATTATGTTATTTTATGTTATTCAATCTTTAAACTACTTTAAAACTATACAAAGCGATAAAGCAGGGTTCCTGGCCACAAAGTATTTACACTGCAGGCAACTGGATCATCCCCTTAAGTTAATGCTAGAGCAACGCTATATTACCAGGTCCTGCCCATATCGCTTTGAGTAATCGGCACTCACTGTTAAATGAAGGTAGCAGAAACAAAGCAAGTCCAATTTCCCAGTTTGGAACAGTCACAGGCAGTAGCTTTACGGTGGGTTTGATCTAGCAGGACCCCTCGTATTGCACTAACAGACAGCAAGCCCCACAAGTGAGCAATGGTGGCTTCTCACGGAAAAACAGCACCCGCACCTCCAGCCCCCCCGCGCCAAGGCTGTGGTGTGTGTGTCTGTGTGCACATCTGCAAAAAAACCCCAGGGTGGATGTCACAGAGGGAGGTTTTGCCAGCTGCCATGGCTGCTTCCCTGCCCGCGGTGGTTTCTCCAGCTCCAGGGCCGTGCTCGGAGGCCCCGTGCCGGCTGCTGCTCTCCCCTGGAGCTGCTGCAGCCTGAGCTCCGCCGGTTCGGGAAACTGCAGCAGAAAATAAGCAAATGCAGACCTTTACGAAACAAATTAGTGAACACGAAATGCAGGCTAAAAGTGTCCAGGGAAATGCTGGCAGGATGAAGGGGGCTGCCAAGAGCCCTTAGGCCCATGAGGACCTGAGCTTGCCCAGCCCTTCCCTGTGGAAAAGTGGTGCCCAAGGAGCCCTCGGTTGGGTTTTGTGATTTCCATGACGCCTTAGGGTTTTTTCTTGCCCACTTCCATGAGACAGGCTCCCTGTGTTAGGGACATCTTCAGTTCCCGCTCCTGCTTGAACAGCTTTGATCCCCGCTCCATGGCACTGGGGAGGAAAGGGATGGGTCCTGACCCTCCGGGATGCTGTGCCGCTTTGCACAGGGTAACACCAGGCAGGCACACACACGCATGGCGACCCTGCAACATGTCCCAGTGGGTGCTCATCCCCGCCTGCTGTCAGCGGAAGAGACACAGGAGCTCAGCCCACTTCTCACTCTCGCCACTCCCTGCATTTCTCCCATTCCTGCCCAAACTGCAGGACTCTCTGCAGAGCAGAAAAGACTGAGGAGAAAAGAGCAGCACAACCTACCCAATACACCTTAATTACAAGCTTAATTACATGGTGACATTTAGGGAAATGTCCAGAGGCTGGGTGAGCTCACAGCCCTCGAGCAGCCGCAGCGGTTGAGCCCTGCAATGCCTGGCCAGGGAGATACTGGAAGAAGCAGCTTGTGAAGAAAAGCCCCGCTCCCTCATCTGCCAGAAATCTGCCTTCAAGATGGCCGTGAGACTTCTCAGTGGCTGAAGCTGAAAAGTGCTGCCTGGGGCGGCTCTATGGCCCGTGGAAGGAGAGTGGGCAGGAGGTGTCACCCTGAAGGGTGGCAGCCCATGGAGACAGGGGGGACGACAGCCTGTGCTCAGTCAAGCCCAGTTAGGTTGTGGGGTATCAGGAGCAAAATGAGGATGTTCAAGAGCTCCTGAGCTGAATGTCCCACCGGCTGCACCACTGTGACCCAGCGTGACGTTATGGAGGCCAGTAGAGAGGGCAAAATTGGGGAAAAGCCATAGAGGTGGGGAGAACTCCTGGTCCCGGGCAGAGGCAGCACCATTCCTCCTAGTCTGCACAGGCTCGCTTTGACACCAGCCAGGAGTTTATTTTTCCAAAACGGCTATTTTTGGCTGTAATCTAATTAGATATCGATTAGAGAAGACTGTATGCACTGAGCTGGACACAGCCGACAGGTGACTGTGAAAAGCCACACGATACAGAAAGTGTTTGCTGCCTTGGTTCTGGCAGCAGGCACAGAGCCCCTTCACCAGGAGCCAGTGGCATCATAAAATGCCAGCTGTATCGTGGCTACGTTTGCATCCACCTCTAGGTAGGGATATAAAATATCAATAGGATCAAAGCTCGCTCCACAAATGCCCTGGGTGCTGTGGGTAACGCACCTGCGCCACTGGTTTATGCCGATGGTCCGATGGGGACTGGGCAGGTCCTGGCTAAGCCATCCCTGTGGACCCACCTCCTGGGCAGCTGCGTTGTGAGCAGGACCCCAGTGACGGTACAAGGAGCCGTGCAAGCTGAGTGCCTTTACCCACTTGTTACAAGCCCCAGCAGAAAGAGAGGCGTGGGTTATTGCTTAGAGAACTGTGCTCTCTTTTTAAATTTCATTTTTAAACTATCCAATTTAGAGAGATTTTGTGCAATACATCTTCCTGTTTTGAAAAGGACTGTGCAGCTGAGAATATACTAACAATAGGGAGAAGGTTATAAACACCTTTTCTCCTATCCACATATTTTATTGTGTAAATTTTCCCCTCCCCCCAGTCCTATTCCAAACACTATTTTTAATTTGCGTGACTTTCTAAACCCCGTATGGAGTAAGAGAATTTGCATAACATCCAATACATTATAGATTAGCTTTCACAACATTATACAGTATTGGGAAATGAGGAGGCTTAACATGCTAATTAGGGTGCTTTATTTTGTTTTTTTCAAAGCCAAGATTGCAGTTAATTGCGCACACGCAACTGCCAGGGTAGGAAAAAAAAAAGTAGTAAACTAAAATTATCTTAACTAAACAGATGGGAATTTGCCTCAACTGTGGTTTTTCACCATAGTTTTTCAAGGCCCTATTTGTCAGGTGAGGCACCGCAATACCTTGGCCCGGGTTGGGAAGCCGTGACGTGCTCCGTCCGACTGTGCCAGCTCGAGGAGCAGAGCAGGACGGGCAGAGGGGCGGCCAAGGAGCCGCGTGGGCCTCAGGCCTGCCAGGCCTTGGCCCGCAGAGCTGCGGTGGTGCTGGGGCGCTCCCGTGCTGGGGGGCTGAACACATCTTGCCTAGCATGGGAGGGCTGGTACGGGATGGGCAGGTTGTGTGGGGAGGTAGAGTGCCTTGAGGCAGAAGCTGGCGCATGTCCTCCCCTGCCTTAGCTCGTCCTGTCCCCGCCAGCATGCCCACGACCTGCGTGGCTGCTGCTACATTTGCCGATTGCTTGTGTCTGAGTAGCTGTCTAGCCTTGTTCAATTTAATTGTCAGAGTCAGGCTGAGGTCCTGGTGGAGATCCAGAAGGACGTGTCTGGATCGTGGTATTTTTCTGGCCAAGCACTCAGCAGCGTGCATTCATTGTGAATCCTCCGTGCTGCGACTTGTCTGGCAACTCAGCCCGTCTCAGAAAAGGTCCTTGGGCAGCACCAGCGCCTTGCCCATGCCAGCGGGTCGATGGCTACCAAGCTGGAAAGTGTTTTGTTTGCTCTTACAGATGGAAGCTCTTCTGGGAGGAAAGGCTTTTGGCTGTAGCAAGAAGATTTTTCACAGCTTGCCCAGGCACTGATTGTTTGCGGCGGGGATTTTTTTGTAATTGCCTTAGAGGCAGAGGAAGGGAAAGACTAAATGACTCGCCCGGGTCCTTTGGGAAGGTTGTGTCCCAGCTGCCCCAAAACTAGCTCAGAGCATCATTTGTTCAGTTTCTGGGTCTCTATCTCAAAAGACTTCCATTTCCTCATCTCTTTCCCAGGATAATGTTATGCTTTCTAGCTGCTTTTTAATTAGGCTGCTGTTGTTTGGCTGTACAGGATATCCTATGAGGTCCTCGGAACTTTCCCAGGTGGCTTCATCTGTTTTTCTTCTGCCTCTAATTTATGACGGGATTCTTTTTCATCTCCCCCTGTGTGGTTTCCAGCCCAGCTCTCTAGTACTTTGGCTGCTTTTATCGAAGTCAGAGGTTTGAGAGCTCATGCTCTATTGCGCTCTGAATGCCCAAGAAAATGAACTTAGGCAATTACAATTGGGGTATCAGCATTTCGGATGTCACAGGATGGTATTCTTGGGTAGAAAATGGCAGTGTTTTCCTTCCTCACCATAACTGAAGGATTTTTTCTGTTTGCTTGCTTGTGCTTTTCATCCAGATACAGTAGGTTTGGCTGCTTCAAGCTCATCCATATGAGGTTGGATCTGTAGGGCAGCTTTACCAGACCCCAATAAGATCTTTTCTGCTGACATCTACAAATGATGGGAAGACTTGAGTGTAAAGAAAACATATCAGGAGCCTCATACTGAATAGTATTGCCCCCCATGGCAAATTAAGCCATTTGCTATGGTTGATATATTTAAAAGAAGCATGATGTTAAGATCAGTGCCCATCTATTCCCACAGGCTTCACTTTATCAGTCTGCAGCAAACATGATTTTACACCTGGGATGGAGGTGGGTTTTATCAGTATTTCAGCAGTTTGGTTTCTCTGTTCCCCTGCTAGAAGACTCGCTCAGGGGCCGGCAGCGTTACCTTCCCTTCTTCAGCCATCACTTAGTGCTAGCAAACAAGCTGTGCCAGTCTCTTTCCAAATGCAAAGTGGCACCATCTCAAAGAGAGCCTCCGCTTCCCTTTGGCCCTGGGGCCTCCTGGCTGAAGCATTTCAGCCTCTCTTGGCTGGGGACAGCAGCCCCAGAAGTCTTGCTGCACCCCTTGGTGCTGGTGGCCCTGGGTAACCCGACAATGATGCTGAAGTGAACCAATGTTGGAAAACCAATGCACATTTACTCATTAAAATTTCACCCCTGAACTAGATCCCCAAAGCTTTGGGTTCAGTTTAAAAATCCTGGCCACTTCTCCCTCCAAATTCAGGGATCGCTACAGCACTTCTTTGCCATGAAGATGATTCTGCTTAAAATACAGGATCTTTCCCAGGCTGAGTGTGTTGCCCACGCTGAAGCGTAAGTTCATCCCTCAGAAGAATGAGCCGCTACATGCTCTTTGTAGAGCACCTGTTTCTATTTCATTATTATTTATTCGGAAAAAGGAGGGAACACAATGACGCAGAGCCCATGTGCTCTCTTTTCCGACTTCTCTTTGAGACACCCTCACCCTGTTTGAGGGATTGCTTGCCCTGCCTCCTCTCACCAGTTTC